ATGAAACTGTGCATATGACGGCATCAAGCACCCCTTCTTGTTCAGCTTTTCTCCCTCATTCAAACCTTTTTCCTTGGATTCTATATGCTGCATGAGAAACAACTAAGATTCTGATGAGAATGTGAAAATCAAAGCAAGACTTTTAAGGTTTATTGCTAACCTTTTGCCATGTGATACTTTCTTGGTATCCAAAATTGCCAGCTTTTTGGTTTGACAACTTGTAGAGTATCTAACGATCACAGTTGTAAACAAATACTACACTATGTCTACTCTCTCTTTGGATGTTTGTCATTTTGTCTTTTTTGACTTCAACAGTGAAAGAACGTTTGTTAACCATTTCTTTCTTCCATGCTGACAGATGGTTACTTGTAGATGCCTTCAGTGAAAGATCTCTGTTGTGGAAGTGTTGGCTGATCTTTTAGAGGAGTACAGGTAGATTCTAGTTCAGCTGTGGAACACCTAGGCTAGTTTTTGCTAGGCGGATGTTTCTAGATATAGTAGTTTTTAATAGGGTTTGCTACTCTTGACTGTGTGATAGTTGGACTTTGTACTATTTGAAGCATATCTTCTCTTTCCATTGACGATAACAACGTAAGATAGGAAACTTGTAAATGGTTGATAGGTGGCCTCTGTTGTCTCGGCTGTTGTTACTATATATATATATATATCTATATAAAAAAAAAAAAAAACCTTCTCTCGTTTCATTTGCATTGGTAGACTGAGTAAAAGCCGCCAAGGCTTCAATTTTTTACCGGGTTGTTTAGTGCTTGTATGTGGCATGGCGTGGTTCATGACAGTATGGGAAACGAATCACTTTGCTGAATCTTATCGACATGGGAAATTAATCGAGTGACAATGTATCTGTTTGTATCTCTGTCTCTCATCTCCCTAATGCTTGTCTGGATCATGACAATATAGAACTCGGACTCCTCCTTTCTTGAATGCTGTCGAAATGGGAAATTCACTACTGTGTTCCCTCATGCCGATGCTTGTTCTAGTTTGCCTTCTCAAAACGCTGGCTGCCACCTGGGATGGACAAGGGGCACAAAGCAAACGGTGTAACTTTCTTTGCACACGACATAATTTTAGAACAAATTTTTGTGGGTGATTTGAACCGCACAAAATTTTGAGACCAAATTATGACCGTCCACTGGCAGGAACGGTTGTCATGGCCGTCCACCTGGGATGTACTTTTCTGATGATCAAGTCAGGTTGATGGTAGTAGTATCCCATTTTCTTGGAAGTCGAAATCAGACACCTGTCCATGTTCTCGTAAATTGTATGTACTTCATAATTTTAACAACAATTATATATATAGAGGTTCTATTCCAAACAGTGATGTTTTGGGAAAATTTCTAACTTCTGATGTGTCTTCCCAAAGTCAAAAGAGTTTCCTTTATTCTTTAATTCCTAAGCCATTTTCAAATGGCTTTGTTCTGGTCCCCCAGCCCTGGTTGAGCTGATGTTGCATGGCAACCCCGGCAGCTTGAAGATCCAGGTTAATGTTGGAAGATGAATCATGCATGCCACTTTTGATCTGGAAGAGTTCTCGGGTCTATCCAAGGCCATGACCAAAAATGACCGCTCAAAGCTACTCTGAGAACCCATAGCTTCATCTTTCGAGATTGCTTTGCTTTTAGGTTACCCAAAATGCTTAAGATATAGCCATAAAAGAGAAAAATGTAGAAAATATGCCCAAAACTTTAGGCTGAAAAAACGCTTTTCAGCATAATGGTCCGGTTTGATATAAGCTACTGTTCCTTATTTTTTTTTTTTTTTAGAAAAAAAAAATCTACACTTGCTTCTGACAGTAAAAGAGAAATTTCATACACCGACAAAAATGGTAACATCATAAGCCTCCTCAAACTCTATTTGTATTAAGATATTGGATAGGCAAGAAAGTTTAGATGCAATGCAAGATTATTCAGCTAATACTCTCATCTGGCTGTTGTAACTTATAATTATGTTACAATATTAGCTAGGGGATGACAGTGCTGGTTGCCTTCTTTCTTACTTTGTTTTTTTTTTCTCTCTTTTCTCCTCAAGATTACCATTAAGTAGCATGTTTACTATTTTTTCTTTGTTTTCTTTTATCTATTTATCCGATTTCCCTCTGAAAAGTGAAAACTTCAAATAGAATAAAAAAATATTTAATTACCCTTTCTTTCTCCCATAAATAAAATTCTTTGTTCACGATTAGGGGTGTAAATGAGGCTAATCAAGTCGAACACCCTAGTGTGCAAAATTATTTGATTATTTTATCGAATTTGAAATTTTGTTTAAGTTTGATTTGTTTATCTACCAAGGCGAACTCAAATGAGTTTTTATCGAGCTTAATTCAAATCAAACTCGAGTAGCTTGAGTTTTTTACTTATAAATTTTAATTTTATGCTAATCAAGCCAAATTTGAACTAAGCTCGAACATTTATCGAATACAAAAGTACTATTTAATTACGGTTTGATAAGTTGGTAAACCAAATTTGAACAAACTCTTGCTGAGCTGAACTCAATTTAGGCATTGAAAAGTTTAGTTTGTCCTTCGGTCCGATCCACAATCTTGCTCTTTTCTTTCTTCAAGCATTAGTCTTATTTTTCTTCCAAGCAACATAAATTCTTCTACTTCTTTTCGTTCTTAACCCCTATTTTCCTTGGACCTCTTTGGCTATTTTTTTTTTTCCCCATTAGTAGCTGATCATAGTTCCACGAGACAGCTTCTTTGAAATGGCATATGATTTTTAATAGAAGTATACCTCAACTCATGCAGTGAATACCAGAAGCTGCAAGCATAATGAAAGAAAACACTTTCTTAAAATTATGCTAAAAAATTCTCATCTATATACTTAGCTAGGACAAATCCTTTGACGATATACTTAAGAAACAAATTCATTCTAGTAGTCCTTGAAACGAAATGATTAGAATACTCACTTATCTTCTCAATCTCCTCCAATTTGTGACAATACTTTATTTACATGAAGGGTTAGAGGAATAATAACATCTTTATGAGTGGCAAGTCGTATTAATTTCCAGTTTTGGCATTAATCATCTATCCTAAATAAATAATTATCATCTGTCCTCTAGGAATGCGCGCAATAGATATCTTTACCACAGAAGGGGAGAAATCAAAGAACAAAACCAAGAATCAGGAATTAATGTATCTTATTTCTTCATCATTGACAAACAGAGGACGAAAGTTTCATGTAAAATACAATTTTGTTGACACTCCAGAATTAGAAGATTGTCCGCCAAGCCTGGTCAAGATCGCATACATGTTCTCTTCAATTGTGAATTTGCTTTAGAATAGGAAAATTTTGTTCTATCACTTAAACAAAATCTACATGAAAACCTTAAAGCATGGACATACTTTATCAATTGAAGTAGCTTTGAAACTAGATCTTTTTGGCTGTTTTATTTTCGCTCTTCATGTAGAACAAGTTTCCCAGCGCAGCTTGCTTTTCTCTTCTCTTTCTTTTCTATTTTCCCCTTCTGATTAACTGACTGACGGTCCTCATGATCAAGGGCAGTCCAGGATGGAACTGACAATACAGGCTCAATAATAAAAAAAAACTCTTACAATAAGATTTCTACGAGTAGCAATATTAATAAGTTGATATAACACATTTCTTTATTTTGGCAATGAAATAATCTGCGAAACTTAAGCAAGTGACCCTGGATTTAAATACCATTTTGACTGGTTTTAGTGTGTGTGTGTGTATGAGTGTGTATTCTTTGTTGATGCAAGTCACTCAATTTGTAGTGTTGGACCAAAGGCTATGTATATATATATATATATTGAATTATTGATATGAACTGCTCCAACACCTTGGCCTCGTTTGACAAGTGAGTTTTTTGGATGTTTGTCTGAAACTTTACTGTACCTTATTGTAGAAGTTGTAAAATTTTTTTTTGAAATGTATAAATTTTTGGATATTTTGAAGTGTATACTTTAAAAATTTTGAAAATTTTTTTGAGTTTACTATAACTAAAGTTTTTAAAAAACTTATAGCACATAAACTTGACCAAAAACTTGCTTGCCAAACAAGGCCCTTATTAGCTTTGAAAATCCAGAAATTACTAAACCCTAGGGTAGATGCATTTCTTGATCCATTAAATACTATGTAACCAACAAAGGACTTTGCAAAAAATTGGTCTTCAAAAACTTAATTATCAAGAAAAACAATAAAGACTTTGCGTTTTCCCTTGTAAAATCCAAACAAAAAAAAAAGAAAAAAAAAACTTGATGCATGGTGGAGAGAGCAGTTGCATGCAAGAAGACAAAATAATAAAATAAAAGTCCGGATCATGCATCATTTTCCATGATATTGGTGACGGATGTACCCTCAAATTAGGAATGCATTTTCGGGAAGTAAAGCAAACTATTGACAAAGATGAGAAACATTAGTCGCAGACAAGTTTTCCTTCCTAATTCCTACTCTTAACAGTATAATATTTGCATTTTCATGCCTTTTTTTTTTTGGCAACATTCTGTGTTCCAAGGCTTCTTGTTCAGGTAAACACCATCATACTAAGCAAACCTGAAGTCAGGATGCTTCTCTAGTAGCAGTATTTATATATTGAGTGCCAAAAAAAAAAAAAAAAAAGGTGAAGAAAGCAATATATACCAAGAGTAATAGCAATTTTACAAACACGAAGCCTCACTTCTACAAGAATTCATGGCCTCAAAGGGAGCCCGGCCGAGAACCCACAAAACAGCAAAAGAATCGGCTCCTAAAACACGCTAAAATGAGTCATTACTGGATTTCACTAATCTGCAACTTTGGATACAGAAGGGAACTGCAGTAGTGAATGATAATTGATGAGTGATACGTTTCAACTTTTTTTTTTGGCTTTTGGTATTTTGCAACTTCAATAGAATGTGCCCAGTTGGACTTGTCCACTGCTTCATCAACCAACATGGTCCTGCTCAAAGACAACATAATCATCAACTTAAAAATTGTCTTAAAACATTTGGAACATAACTACCAAGAATTATTGAAAAATTTTACATAAATTTAATTAATTAAACTATCTGCAACACACGGAAGCCATTATACTAGTGCAGAAAATTTGTTTTGTTTTCTCCACTGGAGGAGTAAATCTGCTTTCAAATCTTGATAGTTTTTCGTATCGATGAGAAGACCAACTTCTGATTCTTGATATGCAAATCTTGTATGGCAAATCAAAGCAAAAGTGGTCGCCACTTAGTACATGCATGGGTTGGAGTGGTGTTAGACTTGCTTTAGTAGCTAGATTAGATTTGCTTTAAGTATCTTGTCATTAAATCTACTCAATTAAAGACAATGTCCTTGACTTGAACTTTTATTTGTTGGTCTTAGTTCTGTATCCAGAAAATAATATAGAATCCAGACAAATAGTACACATAATCATCTGTTAGAATGTAGTTGCATCCCCACGGTCCGTTGTTGGAGACAACTAGATTCCTACCAAATGTTAGAAATAAATCATTAAGATGTCATATTTCAACTCAGCCAGTAAAGGGGAAAGGGAAAAAATATATACAGAAAAAAGCTATCCCAAGACAAATATGCCAAAATAACTCATAGTTTCACCTTACAATTTCAATATAGATAAATTCCTAGTTGCTGATTCCCATGTTTTGATTGGCGATATATATTGGGCAGCTTGTCCTTTTTGTGACTAATCAAAGAATGATATGTCAACGACTAAGCACTGTGAAATAGTTTATGCTTTTCCAGCAAATGAACAAGAACAACAAAAGAAATGAGCAACTCCTAGTTCTAGTATGTTTGTGTATCCTTCCTGGACGAGACTTTTTTCTCCACAAAGCTAGAATAGTCCAAACACCACGAGTACAATGGTGTCAGTACATTTAAGTGCACGGAATTTACTCGAAAAGGAATCGAATATAAACATCAAAATGGGAGCCCAGTTGACTCAAACAGTTTGCTTTGCATTGGAATACATCAAGATGCAGTGCTCCCAGTCAAGTTCAAAGTTACCTCAAACTGAAGACCTGACTCATGACTTTCAATCTGGAACTACCACGTTGTCAAGAACTGACAATTTCAGTTCCTAAGTACATATATCACGTAGGAAAGTTAAATACTTACGACTATAGCTCCAAAAATGTGTCAGTACAACAAAGAAAAATTCTAAAGCCGTACAATCTGGAGTTAGATGCATGTCAATTACCAGCCTTATTAAGCAGCATAATCCATTTACAAAAGCAATGCATATCTTTAAGTAGCAGCACACATGTTAGCAATTTACTGAATCTTGAATCAAATTTGTTAAAGCTAGAAGGTTCATTAGTGGCCAGAACTACACTTGTTGAGACTCGCTGATTAGAGAAGACTAGTGGAAGAGTATTTTGATATCCCTATAAATCAAGGAACGCCATAGGTACTTCCCTTCCACCCCCCCCCCCCCAACGCCAAGGACCTTAACTACATCTTCCATTTGTAGGTATGCAATGGACTCATTTACTTATATGCCATGATCACACCTTTTGTCGTTGGCAACTTTATTTATGTACTACTAACATGTTCTTGAAAAATTTGGGCAAATGTAACCTCAAATTGTAACTTTCAACCAAACAAACGGGTGAAACTATTGCTAAATTAATAATCTTAGTTTGTTGAAATTATTTGTTTACTTGTATGTTTTCATTTGGTGATCTTGTGGAAATGTTCTATCAATCACTCTCGCAATAGATGGGATAGAAGATGATATCAATCACTCGAACCTCACTTTTCTATAACATCTTGCTCTCCCATTATACTCTTCTTCCCAAGATATTCATAGATAGGGCTCACATTTATTTCTCGTTTTCGCCCTATGGTACACGAAAACCAAATAACAAGATTGTAGAACTTGTACACTTGACAATTACAAACATTTGTCAACCTTTGTTTGTATTATAATATAATATGACTAAACTTTCTGACCTCCCAATTCAAAAGCATTCTTCTATTGTAATTCTTAAAAATTTTAGGCATTTTCACCCGTGCTAGATAGACTTTCACATGGTTTATGAAAATCTCTGGTGTTAGTATGCTGTGTATGTGATTTTCAAAATCACAATGGTTGTGATGTACTATGATCCTAAACTAAACTTTTGGAGTCTAAAATGGCTATGCTACTAATCCAAGCATAATGCATTATTCCTTAGTCTCCAAGATTTCAATCAAACAGCAAACAATCATGCATGGCGAAAACTCACTGAGAATTTAAACGCGCGATTACTTAAGTGCTAACCATTTCTGCTAATCAGTGGCCATTCTCATACATTGAAGTTCATAATAGACAAAAACGAGAAAAAGAATTTGAAGATTCATAGCTTCCCCTCCCTCCCCCCCCACCAAAACCAATAAAATGAGCCGGCTTTCCCAACAAAAATCAGTGGATAAACATTTTTGCGTCTTACTTGAACAAGTTCAAACTGCCAAATAGGGTAGTAACAGTGGGTTATTCTATCAGAATATTGCTCCAACTGTGAACGAATCACAATTTACATTCCCTAGATTAATCTCTCAAAATCCTTTTCATTCTGATATCCAATCTTCAAAAGCTAAAATACTATATAGTAGGGCTCTCAATTTTCTCAACATTGTAATGGTCAAGGTCAAACCATGACAAATTGGTTGAGCTAGCAAAGCTAAATGAAATGGAAATTGCTGTTATTTAGCAAACAAAAGATGTTCCTTTGGTTCACTAACTGGATCATTCTGATGCCAAAGTACATGCAAACGTAACACTACCACTCTTTATTTCACTGAAAAATTAGAGCAATGTGACAAATATGGTCGAGTGTGATGTCCCACAAAATCTAATGCAGAGAGAAAGCAATCTAAGTAAAGATACAAAGGACAACAAACATGGTGGTGCAAATTTCTAAAATGCCCTCACAAAGATTTAATGCAGTAGAAAAGAGATTCTAGTGGGGGTGGAGGTTGTAAAATCAAGGTTTTAATATAGCTTAACAGTGAAAAATTAATAAAAAAATGTTATGTTTCTCGTACATCTGCTAGGTTTTGTAATGATGATCATGTGGTTTAAAAATTAAGCGTAAAAAAGCCATGAAAAAAAGGCATGCATAAGATGGGACCTAAGTTTCAGAATTTGATTGCTAGACCATGGAAAGAAACCATTAGAATATTTGGATAATTGTCCATTTCTATTGTAGAATACCATCAAAAGTGTCTGCTACCTCAGATGACAATCTGTGGGGGCGCAAAATCTGCAAAATCCGAAAAGATTCCTAACAAATGAAAGGCTGACATACACTTGAAAATAATACCTCATTCTACTAAATTAGGATCTCACTGGAGACATTGTATGTTTTGGTTGATAATGAATGGAGAGTGGATCTATTTAACCTCCTCATCTCGTGGGTCAAATATTATATGTCACTAATTTCTTAACCATGAACTGTGAAAGATCAAGAAAAAATAACGCCACTGTCAATGCATTTGACGACTATCTTATTACAACATCATGTGCTTCGGTGAAATTTTTCATGGCACTAGTTCAACTAATCATAAGAGATTGATCACAATTGTGTAGAGGGTTTAGGTGAACCAAAAACTCCAAGTGCACAGTGACACCACCTCTAGGGTTCATAGTGAAAATTGATGTATTTGACTTCAGAAAAGGAATGCAGAATCTTTATTTAGTTGGTAAAATTTTTGTTTTCTCTTTTGGGACTGGGGTTGAAAATCTATTTAATGAACTCCCTTTGAGTGTTTAAAGTAGATAATAACACTTTCATTAGCATAGTTAGTTCACATGCAATCCAGATTCTTACTATGCAATTCTTTTTCCCTGATGCATTAGCAATCACGGCAAGTAGTTGAAATAATTGCTGAAAGAATGAGGGAAGCTCAAGTTGAAGCTCTAAGTAATACTACTAATCGATCACTTCACAGCCAAATTTATAACTATACATTCTAGTAAAAGGAAAATTTACCATTTGTTGAAAGCATTGATTGAATTTAGGAGAATGGCAAGGATGAACTTGACTCATCATCTCCTTTGCCTCCTGATGGGGAAGTCTTCTTCTTTTTCTTCTTATATGGGATTCCCCTTGCCTTAGCTTGGCACTCCTTCACTTCCCTAAGATAAACTCTTATTGCACCACTAGCAAAGGGGTTGCTTTCTGGGGATCCTCCGTTCTCTTCATAGGCGGCGCGAAGCCTTCCGATGAGGGCATCGAGGCTGCCCCAAGCTTGTCTAAGCGGACAAGTACATGGGGCAGGTGGCTCAGGCTGGCCATAAAACATGCAACCTTGCAAGTGAACTTTAGTCTTGCCAAACTGATCTAAGTATCGAAGGAACTCGAGAACATGGCTGCTATTACATTGGGAGAGTGGAACTGGAGGTCTTTGATTCTTCAAATATTGACCAAAAGTGTTCCAATCTCTTCTCTTTTGGGATTCATAGCGGCTAGGAGCAGCAGCTGATTGATCACTTAAGGATCTTGAACTCGATGATCCCTCTCCTGCCATGACGATAATTTTTCCCTCTCTCTCTTCTCGCTTGACCTTACAGCTGATGAGGGATTGATCCAAAATTTTTGTTGCAAAAGCAGGCAAAAGAATATTGGAAGTTAAGGTTAAAGGAACAGGAGGAAATGGGGTGCAGGAAGATGAAGATCACATCACAGACCTGTTGAGTTGACATGTTATGGGCCATACAAAGTTGCTTTCTGTTCCTCTTTTCTTCCTCTATGGTTTTATGTCTCTTTATTTAAATAGTAAATATTGCCATTAACCATACGTATGCTGGATAAGTTACAATTATTGTAAAGGGTTTTGTCCATACTATCCTCATCAAACCCCTGTCAAAAACGTACGCTTACAACAAGTCTGGGTGGAGTCACATTTTCAACATATAATTGACTCAGTAAACAAGAGCGTATCATTTTACCATGATGTATTCTTTTTTTCCCTTCTGAAGTTTCTGTCCCTTGTCATGGTGTTTTACCTGGACAGTACTCTTTTGTCTGCAAGCTAATAAGCGTTTTTTTTCCCCGGTAAGCACCAATAAGCTAATTTAGATATAAATGGTTAACTATATATGTAGGTTATTTTTTATACTTTTTTTTTGGGATTTTAGTGTACCTTTTGCCACCGTGTTAGGAAGAACCTCAGGACCTCATCCCAGGTAATTCATTTACGTTAACATACATTAATTCAAAACCCTAAATTTTATGCTAGTACTTTTTATTTTACTGAAGATTATCGTAGAAAAGGTCATGACTTGCATTTGAGAAGGAAATGTTCATGTTTTGTCAATTAATATTTGAAGAAGTTACTCACAAATGTGAAGCAGCAGAATCAGTCACTAGCTTTGATTATTCGTGAGAGATGTAAATATGACAACCCTTCTCTAGTTCACTGCACAATGGCTGAAAAACGTTATTATTGTGATTTGCAGTTAAAGTAGTAAAGTTAAGCATGTAGACGCTTGTGCAATGAGTATTATAATGCAGTAATTATTAATTAGTGGAAGATTAACGATTGAATCAAGGCTCAGGATATTTCGTGCTGCTGTTAAATGGCTGTCCCTTTCAGGCGTAACTGGAACATTGCCCACATAATGCCCACTATTAGGACATTTGGAAACTGGGGATGGTAAGATACTGCTATATACTGGAGACTGTCTCTCCAATTCAAGCTTTTATTAGTGTCAGGTTTCTGGAAGCAGGAATGCATGTCTGCATGCAGTGATCTGTCTATAGAATTCAGAATACTCCTAACATAGATAATCTGATATAACTTTCCTTAGTTGTGGGATACAAAATTTTTGTATAATTATGCATCCATTGCTCGTGTTCTGAGAACAAGAAATGTTTCACCAACTTCAACACAAGTTGGTAGGGACGAATCATTTTCTCACTAAAAATCATGTGTTTGAATTATGTTACTGATGCAAGAACTATATTAGTGGGTGATTTGTAAGAACCATTTCCTCACAAAAATCATGCGTTTAAATTCTATTACTAAAGAAAGAACTGTATTGGTGGGTGATTTATAAGAACCCTTATAAATGGCTTGTAATCCTGGAGGTATGCCTTAACCTTAGTAGCTATTGGAACTAAACCCGCCCAAATTTTTTGTAACCAAAAAAAAAATCAGAAATATTTCACTTGTTTGGTTAATTAATGAGACCATATATTAGTGTATATACTTGGTGGCTGAGCTGTAGTCTCGGCTGCAGTTTTGGGTATCTTGTGTTTATAGTATCTATCTATATTTGGTAGTATTGGTAATTGCACATAATTAGGTAAATTGGGGCTGAAGTCACGGGAGTCTGAGGTGTACATTGTACTTGTATATATAGAGCAGATGGCAATGAGAAAACTATGAAAACTTTTCCCAATTCTTTTGGTTTTTCATGGTATCAGAGCCTTCTGGCTCTGAAAACAATACCGAACCCCTAAACTATAAATCCTAGGACGATGACAGATCAAAAAGTTTCAAGTTTGAAGACCAATTCGCCGTTCTTATTGAGCGCGAATGACAACCCAGGCAATTTAATTACGCAGACGCAATTCAAAGGACCAAATTATGAAGAATGGGCTAAGGCCATGAGGATTTCGTTGAGGGCAAAAAAGAAACAAGGTTTCATTGATGGCACCATTAAGGAGCCGAACCAGAACTCAGATGAAATTGATGATTGGTGGACAGTGAACTCCATGATTGTGTCATGGATTTTTAACACTATCGAACCAGGCTTGCGTTCCACGATTTCATACAAGGAAACGGCAAAGGAATTATGGGATGATATCCAGCAGCGATTCTCTGTTCGTAATGGCGTGCGAGTTCATCAATTGAAAACGGAGGTTGCAAATTGCAAACAAAACGGGGATTCGATCATGGCTTATTATGGTCGACTCAAGAAACTGTGGGATGATTTGAATGATTACGATCCTATGCCTACTTGTTCTTGTAATGGATGCAAGTGTAATTTCGTTACACGGCTTCAACAGCGTCAAGAGGAAGAGCGAGTGCATCAATTCCTCATGGGGCTTGATGAATCATCTTATAGTAATGTTCGTTCCAACATCATCGCTTCAGACCCTCTTCCAAACCTTCATAGGGTTTATTCTCAAGTTACAGAGCAAGAACAAGTGCAGGTAATGATGCGAGCAGCTCCCAATCGGTCTGATCCGGTGAGCTTTGCCATGAAAATAGTCAGCCTAGGCCCTCGGAATTCAGGGGGGACCGAAAAGACGATGGAGTAGTTTGCTCTCACTGCCAGAAACCGAGACATAGCATGGACACATGTTTTCGTCTTCATGGCTATCATGACTGGTGGCCAGGAAATTCGACTCAAGGAAGAGGTAAAGGATGTGGTAACCAGGGGCGTGGTCGTGGTGGAGTAGCACGGGCTCATGTTACACAAGGGGTAGTACAGGCGGCTGCTAATGTTTCCCATGGGAGACCACTTGATGATTCTGATAAAGCTGGATTGGAGAACTTGAGCAAAGCTGATTAGGAGACTTTGAAGTCTCTCTGGAACACTCACACGAATAATACATCAGTTGCTCAGCCACGGCTTAATGGTAAGACATATTTACAATGGTTGTTCAACACAGGTGCTTCGCATCATATGACGGGAGAGGAAACTGCATTTGTAGAGCTTCAAGGAATACCTCCTTGTCCCGTGAAAATGCCAAATGGTGAATACATTATGGCAACAGGAGAAGGAACAGTTCTTGTAGGAAAATTATCTCTCAAGGGTGTTTTATATGTTCCTGAAATGTGATGCAATTTGATATCTGTTTCAAAATTAGCCCGTGACAAAGTTTATATCTTGAAATTCACTGATCGTTTATGTGTTGTCTAGGACCGCACTTCGAGGATGCTGATTGGAGTGGGTGAAGAGCTTGAGGGGCTGTATGTCGCACGAGGGGAGCCTCTGGTCAGTGCTCATGGAGCCGCTACAGTCAAGAATATGGATTTGTGGCATAAAAGGTTGGGACATCCCTCTGTGCGAGTCATAGAAAAGCTCCCTATAATAGATGGTAGTATAGAGATAAATAAAGGTGTTCATGAACCTTGTGACGTGTGTTTCCGGGCAAAACAAACTCTTATTCCTTTTCCTATTAGTGACCGTAAAGCTAGTGATATCTTTGAATTAATTCATTGTGATTTGTGGGGAGCTTATCGAGAGGCTAGTTTTTGTAGTGCTACCTATTTTTTGACTATTGTTGATGATTGTTCTCGTGGTGTATGGGTTTATTTGTTAAAAGGGAAACATGAGGTCCCATATGTTGTTAAGAATTTTTTGGCTATGACTAAGAGAAAATTTAATAAACATGTCAAAATTATACGCAGTGACAATGGTACAGAGTTTACTTGTTTAGGTGATTATTTTAAGGAGTGTGGCATTATTCATCAGACTTCCATGGTTGGGACACCCTAACAAAATGGAAGAGTTGAGAGGAAACATCGACACATTTTGAATGTTGGTAGGGCGCTTCGTTTTCAGGCTAACTTACCTATTCAATTTTGGGGAGAATGCATTCTCACTGCAGGATATTTAATCAATCGTACTCTATCGTTGGTTTTGGGTGGAAAAACTCCATATGAAATTTTGTTTGGAAGTCCTCCATTTATTTCTCATCTTAGAGTATTTGGATGCCTATGCTATGCTAAGAACATTAATCGGGAAAAGGATAAGTTTGCAAGTCGAAGTCATAAGTGCATATTCATGGGTTATCCATATGGTAAAAAAGGGTGGAGGGTGTATGATCTAGATAGGAAGGTTTGCTTTGAAAGTCGAGATGTTGAGTTTGTTGAGCACGTGTTTCCTTTTGCCCATACGGACTTCGCAAGGTCAGCACATCCAGATCCTCTGCCTACTGTCATTGAACCTACTATATTGGAGGACGTGCCTGAGATTGAGGCACCTCCCCCAGTCTCTGAATATGACGGACAGTCCGTGGAAGAGGGTGTGACAGCAGATGGGACCGTACCAATACCTGAAGTTGCAGAGGTTACAGGTACAGCGGAGGATCTTGGTCGCGGCAAACGAGCGCGACAACCTTCAGTTCGTTTGCATGATTATGTGTTGCATACAGCTACGATCCGTTCCTCAAGCTCTCCTTCCTCTTCCTTGGCATTCTCAGGTACGCCCTACCCCATCGCAAATTATGTGAATTGTGCTAAATTTTCTCTGTCGCATCGTCGATTCGCGGCTGCAGTAACTACAGGGATTGAACCAACCAATTTTAAAGAGGCAATGCAGCATTCATGTTGGCGTGAGGCAATGAGAAAGGAGGTTGAGGCTCTAGGGAATAATGGGACATGGACAGTTTCTACTTTGCCTATGGGAAAGAAGGCTCTTGGTAGTAAATGGGTCTACAAAATCAAGTATCATGCAGACGGAACAATCGAGCGATACAAGGCACGGTTGGTTGTTTTTGGGAATCATCAGATCGGGGGTCTTGATTATACTGAGACGTTTGCACCTACTGCGAAGATGGTCACGGTTCGTACCTTCTTGGCAGTAGCAGCGATCCGTGGGTAGGAATTGCATCAGATGGATGTGCACAATGCATTTTTGCATGGCGACCTTGAGGAGGAAGTTTATATGCGTTTTCCACCAGG